CTTTTTGGGGATGCAGCTTGGGATGTGAGGAGTGAGGGTTGGCCAGTGTTGGCAGGACATGAATTAAAATGTCGAACTCGGCCTTCATTTTAAGGACATGTCAGCCAGGGGTGTAGAGCTATATTTGTTTAAGCACCGGATCGGCAAAAACAGGAGACTCTGTGCACCAGTCTGCATTGATCTATGTATTCATGTCTGTGACACTCACAGTATCTGCTGCCCACAGCTGTTTTATAGAAGGAAAACCTCCTTCACTTCATGAAATCTCTGCAGCGCCAGGAGGCAGCGGGAGGGTTAACTCAGCCTCTGAGAAGAGGAGCGCGCAGTGCCTTTCACGCACCGCCTTTCACGCACCGCCTTTCACCCACCGCCTTCGCTGTGTTTACCTTCAGAATCATAAGGCTAAAGGGCGGCCGCAGGCTGATGTGTTTTAACCACACACACCTCTACACACACACGACTTAAACGCAGACTTTTGTCCCTCCATGTTTCGTTGTTATTGTTTCACTGAGCGGACCCGCCCCCTTTTTTTTCACACGCTCCCTTTTTTTGGTCCATCTGCGGCGGTAAAAGTTTTTGTGCGCTGTGATGATTCGGCTGTACCTTTAATAATGAATATTACATGTTGTGAGGAAATCTTTCCACCAATAATTCCAATAAGTAATCCAAAATGTATTCACTTCAGGTTTACGAAAGTAACTGTAATCAGATTACTCGTTTTTCAAATGTAACGCGAGCTGAATACAGTTACTTGATTTTTGTATTCTGATTACGTAACGCCGTTACATGTATTCCGTTACAACCCAACCCTGTGTACATATAATAAAAATAGTCTACAGTAGAGACACTTTACAGCTAATACAACCGCACAGATTGTTCAGAATATCAGTTTGAGAAAAACGACACCCTCTACCCTTAGACCCTCACATCGTACTGTACCTGCTTGGGGAGGCTGATTGGGGTGTAGCAGCAGAGCTTCAACATGGACTCCAGCTCCTGAGTAGTAGTGGGGATCAGAGGGATCGACCCCTGCTGCTGAGTCTTCTCCATCTCCCTCAGGCGAACGATGAACTCAGACTCTGTGGGGAAAACCAGACCTGCAGGACAGAAAGGAGGAGAGCTTCTGTCACTCACATACACCGATCAGTATGGGGTTTGAATCCAGGATAAATCACACAGATCAGATGTGCTGAGTTTACCTGCCGGACACATCAGGGTGACGCCGGACAGGTGAGCAGGGTGATGGGCAGCGTACACTCCAGCGACGTTCCCCCCCATCGACGTCCCCACCAGGTGGAAGGGTGTTTTGTCCAAACCAATACTCTTCACAAACTGCACAGGGAGAGACACAAAGACAGAGGGGATCACTGTCTGCTCAGTGCCCCTGTGCAGCCTCTACTACAGCTACAGAGAGTGGGCACAGGCGTGAAGTGGATGAAAACAGTAATAAAGAAGAATACCTTATCATTAATTGTCTTCTCTTTTAATGCAATAGAAATGTGCCACTTTACATGTGCAAAATGTGCAATTTAGAAGACAAATATATGGACTATAATGTATTTTCTATTACAGATTAAGATTCTATGAAGCCATTTCAAGAGATATTATTCCCTGTAGTCCATTTTGCTTTGTTTAGGACATTTTTGGGCATTAAACTATAAAAAGAGGTCGTGATCATATGCCAGATTGCAAGCACATATCTAAGAGGAAGAGCCAAATGAACAAATATAGCATGGGGAAACACCTCGTGGAAGACCATATCTGATTATTAGTGACTTTTAGTGTTGATAAATGGATCTTTTTTAAACAGAGCCAGGCTGTGTTCCCAATCTTCTAGTTGTTATGCTAAGCTAACAGCAGTATGTCCTGACTCCAGCTACGGCGCACAAACTAGGGATTGATATCTATCTATACGTCTCGTTCTATTTTTATTTCCCGTAAATCTTCCTTCCTTTCCTGCCGTTAGAGATATTGAAGGGTATCTGTTCCTTACTGTGCACGACATTAAGGTGGGTTGTATCACACACACACACACACACACACACACACACACACACACACACACACACACACACACACACACACACACACACACACACACACACACACACACCTGGTGGACGCTGCGTCTCCGTCCTGTCCGTCTCCACTGGCTCTCTGGCCGGTGCGTCCCACCACAGAGGGCCGAGGTGAGCACTCGCCCCCCGGGGAGGAGGCCTGGGAGCGCTGCGTGCCTCTCACCTCCTGGGAGTAGGAGAAGGACGAGTTCTGGGACACTGGATCTACACGACCAGGGACAGGAAAAGAGGACATTAGTTTCACAAAGACGCTGTGGGATAAAGAAGAGAGGGGAATAAGGTGTGGGTGTTTTTTGATTTGATTTGATTTATTTCGAATGTGTAAAACAATAATACAAAAAAAAAAAAATGAAATGAAACATGACAATTATTATATTATACCGAGTTAAGCAGTGTCAAATTGATATACAAAAATATTACTGATTCTAAATTATATATAAACAAATTATCTACTTAATTACTTCAATTTTGTTTGCAGTTATATAGTATATTAATGTATATTATAAGAATAAGGTGGTGCTGTTTGAAGTAGTTATTCATGCTGA